AACATCTGGGCGGAACCTGCCTCCCTCTCCACCGGGAGGTCCAATAACTTAACTTACACTCTCGCAGTTTTACACCTACACTCTGGCAATCTCGAACGCTTCGTTCGAGACTGCCACTGGAAAGGTCTATAAAGTGCGACTGTGGAATATGCTGCTTGGGTATGAAAAAAAATGGCACTATCATTTAGACACGTCCTCAACATAATGAAAGACTCATTCACTCAGGAAGTTTATGCGGCGGTGCTAAGCACATTTTGACCAGAGGCACATTTGTTTTAGACAGTGACTAAAAAAATATTCGTTTATATCCTCACAATCATACATGGGTAAATTACTTTCAAAACGTAATTTAATTACAATTACAATTACTTAGCTCCCAAAGTAGTTTAACTACAATTACAATTACTACTTCACGAAAGTAGTTCATTGCAATTACAAATTACTTTTTAAAAGTAATGCAATTACTTTACAATTACTTATTTCTGAGAGTTACCCCCCACCTTGGGCCATATAACTGTAAACGAGTTATATGGCCACTGTATAAATGTTGCGCTTTGTACTTTCCTTTTATGAAATTTGTTAAATGGGATTATAGAACTTAATAGTTTGGAGTAATGAACTCCTGCGTTCATATATTCTCAAAAAGTAAAAATGCAGACAAATTCACAGGTGCGAGGTGAATCTCCTTAGAGCTTATCCAAATGGTATCCAATTCAAACCAGCAAAACATAAACTTAAATATAATACATGGAAACAAATATGCGACAGTACTGGTATCATAAAACTCAGGTAAAAATGGCTAATAAGAGAAACTTGTAAACGACGTGAAACATTTAAAGAATATGCCAACTTACGAAAACATTTCAGCCACGATCATTCGCTACCTCTCCCTGTCTGTGGACTTGTAACATGCCGGATGTGGGTAACCATAGCACACAAACTGTGGTCGCTTCCACAAAACTAGTGTCAGAACAGCAGCAACTCTATTGCCAGGGATTCTGGGTTTATGCAGTGCCCGGTAACACCCAAAAAGCTCCTGAGATAGATAATAAATTTAGGATCGTCATGTAGCTAATCATTAGGATAGCAATGATTGTATCGAGGTTATGCGTCTCATAAAGAAGACCGATTTCAATTTAGCATGGCAAGAACAGCCTCGAAAAATTCATGATACACTGTAAACGACTTCATTTTCGCGAATTTCGCGAATCGCCTACAATTCGCGAAAAAAATGTGAACACATTGGAATCTATATTGTGACTGCACCGCGTCGCGAAAATTACAACCTGCGAATTATTCCGAAACTGCGGCCTCTTGGACGCCTCGATTTCATGATTTGCTTGGACGTGTTTTAGCTGGAAGATATAGACGAGCTATTATAATTATTTTTTTTATATCTGTAAGTATTATTCGAAGTGACAAAAAAGTTGCCTACCTGAAAATGTTTCCGCAAATTGGAGGTCGCCTTTCGGTTTGTTGAATTTGTTTTCAGAAACGGTACGGAGAGTTTGCTCCTCACGATTATAGTATTTACATTGCTGCTAATCTGTTTAAAGAATTTTTCGTAACAAGGCCCCGGCAGCTTTTCCTTTTCCATTGTAGATAAGGCTGTTGCAGGTTCTCAATGCAAAGCAGCACTGTGCGCCTCGGGACGGTTCCACAGGCAAAGGACGAGAGGACAACGCGTGGAAGGTCACGATAGAGGTGTAAAAACAAAGTGCAAGCCAAGCCGTCAATAAAAAAAAAAGAAGCCTTCAACGAACAACAAACGTAAAAACAAGCTCCTTACAGTTTAAAGCCGTGGTTTATAAGGTTTGGAATCTCGTCCAATCAGGCTGACAAACGGTTAAAAGGGTTAGGTAGAGCGAACACTAAATAATGAAGATTTATACAGAAAGGTAGACGAGTATTGGGAGAAGGAAGAGCAGTGTAGCAACAACAGTTGGAAGTAAGGCAGGGTGAGTCGTGTTAATGAGACCTGCTGCTTCTTTGCTTCTTCGCCTCGATGCTAGAGTAGCACGACTTACTGTTACTGGTACCAACGTACGAGATAGAGAAGAAGGACGTGAAAAACTCATAAAGAAAAGAGAATAATTTCATGAACAAAAAAAATTCCAAACTTGACTGAAATATATAAGCGAATATGCTAGCGGCGAGGACGCGTAAGGAGAACCTCGAACCTCCCCGCCTCGACGGGATGATGTGATCGGAGCCAACCAGCTCGACTTCGACCCCCGATGCCCCCGTGTAAGAATGAGAAATAAGAAAGACCCCTAGAAACAGGAGCAACAGGAAGCGAACGAGACGAAGAGTCAGATTCAACTACGACAGGAACGAAAACGGACGCGAATGTAGCCCTCATTTATCAAATTATTTCTCAAATTCTTCATTAAATCGTTTTACAGTCTACAAAATCCTTCATTCCGTTCTATCCCAGCCTCCCTTTCCCATCCCTCTTTTTTTCTTTTTTGAGCAGGTTGGGAGACACTCTCTCCCCTGTCGCTTTGGCTGTGCTGTCGTCTCCGTGGCCAGGGGGAAAAAGCGCCGCCGCCGCAAAATCTTGCATAAGTAATTGTAATTGTGCCTGAAATTTAGCAATTACTGACGCTAAAAAGTAATTAAATTACAATTACAATTCCTTTTAGCCAAAAGTAATTATTACAATTACAAATTACTAGGAAAAGTAATTAAATTACAGTAATTTAATTACTGTAATTGAATTACTACCCAAGTATGCTCACAATGTAGGCCAGGCCCAAGCGAATCTATACCCCAGCCGCCTGAAACTGGCTCGTCAGGTGGCTCTTTTAAATTTTCGAAGTCTGCACTTCAAGTACCATCTGATCTGAAGTGTCAAGTGCAAAATCTTCTCATGCTAGTAACGCAAAGGTAAGGCAACAAGAAAAGGGTAACTCGCGCCCACGAAGAAAGAAAAAAAATGACCGCCGACGACATCACATGTTGAGGGAACATCGCGACCCCTACCGCTGTTCCTGCGTGACTGAAACGCGGCAAACTCCCGAGAAGCCCCAAAAAGACTCGCGCATTTCGGGACGCTTCTACACCAACAGGAGGAGAAGCAACGTCGGCAGCCATCACCATAAACACGGGTTCCAGAAGAAAAAAACATAAACAAAAAGAAAACAGGCCGACGCGCAAAAGCCACGGAAAGCCCAAGCGTAACAACTTTTCCCCCGTGGAGAGTTTCTCCCCTCTAGTTTATTCCACCATATTCAGAGACGGGCAAAGAACACGGGGTGTAGTACGTAGCCTTCTATTTGCTTTCTAGAAGCTGCGTGCTCGGTGAGCGCATATTTGTAGGTGTGTTTATTCTCCACGATAAAATCCAGAAAAAGAAAGTGGTGGGAGAAGAACGGCACTTCGCTTCGGTGGTGTACGATATAGCTTCCTGTACTCCGGATTCTGTGCCATGCTTTAGCTAGTACCGTCACCTACGTTACCGTCTCCCGCCTTAATATTTTTTTATTATATAATTTTTAGTTGTCTTGCATTTTGCATGCATATCGGCGCTTGAATTTATGTTTTCTGGAATCTTAGTCGTTGTTTTTTTTTTTTATATATTCGATTCAGCGGTGTTGGCGCAAGTTAGAGAACGTTCCAAACGCTGCTATGCCTGGCTGACTTTGAGTGCGAAGCAGGAGAAGCTTAAAGACTCTGCCTTGTTTGTCACCAAACCCGGACTATAAAAAAAAGTCCTTGTTTTTTCATGAAGTTCAGCGTTCCCTCAGCTTCGAATCAACTCTTTTTAAATCTTACGAAGTACAGAGTGACGTTCAAGTTCTATTACATCTCCAAGTATCGTTTTTTTTTTTTTTTTTTTGTATGCGTTAGGGCATTTAAGATTGATAAAATGCGAAATAAAAACACTGATTTTACGAAACATATGTTTGATACCTCTGTGAAGTGGCAAAATGTAATGTTCTTTTTTCCGGATAACGTTAATTCAGGGATTGACCAATCAGTGCTTCACTCCAGTTGCAGCGCGGTTTACGTGCGACGCTCGGAGTCAGAGACGGGAGCGTATTCGCCGAACAGTAGGGAGTTTTAGGGAACCGTTTTTGCACCTCCGATACTGTACGATGGACTATCCGGTACGAACTGCGCATAGAGGGCCCATGGTACCGTATCGGAGGTGCAAAAACGGTTCCCTAAAACTCTCTAGTTATGCCCCATTCCCACTATGATAAGGGCACCTTCTAGCTCCATCGTGGTTGGCCTGCGAGTTGCGGATCCTCCGCGCGTGGCATGGGCTCGCGACCCAAAAGCAAGAGTGGATTTGCCGATTGCAAAGGGACGTGCGCTAGATGTCCCATGAAGACGCTGTCGCACAGTTCATTGACAATACAAAAGAAAGCCTGCAGACACGGAATGAGTCATGTTTCTTCCTTGTATGATGGACATAGGTGTCGTACAAAAATTGCCGGCAGATATGTTGGAAGCGTGTGGGAAGGAAACATCTTTCCAAGATGCTTGATTCGTGTAAGAATATAATTCTTTCATTACGTCCTCAGCGAACGCTTTGTTTTCTCAACGATGTATGTACAGTGTAAGTGCGGCTCTAGGCTGGCTACGTGAATGAGGTAGTAATTACCTTCCATAGAAGTAACATTAAATTTCTCCTAGTAACGGGAGTATAAGAAAACAATTCCTTCGTGCGTCTCAACTTCTCGTGGTTTTCAGTTTTATGCAGCTTCAAGGGCCTTCACTTAAACGAGAAAGATAAATCTGGTAATAAGATAATTTTAGGCGTTCTTCGGCTTGCCCATGTCTTACACCCTAAATAGAGTCTTTCAAGCACATCCCTGAAAGGATTGTTTGTAAAAAAACTGATAGTTTTTTTTTTAGTTCCTTTTTTATTCTAAAGAGTGCTTCGACAACCAGTTGCCTTTCTAGTGCGCCAGGGGCGATAGTTCTTGAAGTCAAAAAAACCTTTCCAAAAGATTTTTTTTAGAGTGTTAGAGAGTTTAGTTGTTGCTCACCTTCGGTGATGGGCGAGTGGATGAGCAGACCGTCGTCGCGAAGCCAGGCGGTGATGACAAGCACGTCCTTGGCGAACGACGGTAGGTGACAGCGGAACAGAGCCGCGTTGCCCCTCGTGACGAATTCGTCGTAGGCTCGGACCTCGAAAGGTTGAGACACCACTGAAATGAAAAACGAGGAACCCTGAAAATCGGCCCATTCTGTCGCAGGATACCTTGTTACTAGTGATGCGCGTCGTCAGAAGCACGTACAGAACGAGAATATTTGAATGCACTTTATTATTTCGTAACAAAACAAACAGATTAATAGAATTTTGTATGACAAACAGAGGAAATTTTCAAGCTGAGGTGCAATAAACGTTACATCAAAAACCAAGTGCTACTCTTTTCACCCTGCAACCGATGAGGTGAACAAGTTAGGTCAATCTCGTTTGCTTGATGGTACGACGTTTAGGTGGATCTTCTAAGCGGAAATGGCTCGCAAGTTATTCATAATTATAGTAACAGTGACGATGAAATTATCTATCGTACATTTTTCGCATCAGGCGCTTCTTAACTCGCTCAATTTCGTTGCACTAATTAGAAAACAAAGAATTCCACGCTACGGAGCTGTATTCAAATTTTGAGCGAACCAAGGAACAAAATGAATAGATCAAACATATAAAGCTAAAAAAAGTTACGCGTCACTCGTGAAATCAGCCCCAGTTTACGTAATGAAGTGCCCACTATTCAAGCGGCATGTTTGTTGTTGTTGTTTTTTTTAATCTGAGACAGTTATTAACAAGAAGGTGAAAGTCACGCATGACACGCTGTATGACTGTTGCACACGGAAGTATGTATTGAAAACCTATCTGATCGCGCTTCCTGGACAGGGATACACTTTTTATCTTTACTGGGTTCAAAGACAAATTATTAGATGATCACCACCTTGACATGTTATTAATATCTTGTTGCAAAAAATAAACAGTCCCCAATGTCACAAACCGATGAATATAGCTTGATATCATCAGCAAACAGTAAAATTTTAGCATATTTACCAGAGAAAACAATATCATTTATAAATACAAAAAGGGAGTGACCCCAGGTTTTAGCCCTGTGGCACTCTTGACGTTGACGGAAAATGATAAGATAATATATTCGAAATCCCAACCAAATTCTTGCGCGAAGAAGGGTATGACTTCAAAAAGGAAAGCTATTGTGGACACATGCCATACAACCGAAGCTTCGACAATAATAGGAAATTATTTACGCTGTCAAAAGCCTTGGACACATCTAAGTAGATGGAACCCACTCGCCTTTAGTGAAAAACCACCGAAGTCGAATAATTAAAGAATGTTCATAGGTTATTGTCGACTGATCTGCCCTGAAGGAGCCTATGCTGATCATAATTTATCTTTTGGCGGAACTAAAAAGAAAGTTGCGCATGCACAACAATTTCAAAAACCTTCGAGAAAGCGCGAAGAATAGAATCGGGTCGGCAGTTATTTACCAGACAAGCGTCACCTGCCCTAAAAATTGGCACTCTAATGGCTTCTTTTCTTTGCTGTGAAAAAATACCATACGAAATAGATAAGTTAAAAATGTGCCGTAAGATAGGAGCCAGAATGTCTCCGCAACATTTGATAACAAAACAAGAGATAGAGCCACCATCTAAAGACTGCTTAGGTTTGAGGCGCCTAATCGCTAGCAACACCTCGTCATCAGATCATCAGATGTGTCGCGAAAAGGATGGCTATCGTGGTTTTCGGTAACTTAGTCAAAATGTTGTTTCGATGGCGAATGCACAAAAAAATCACGAACTAAAATGACCCGCAAAAGTATCTGCAACCTTTTCACTTTAAAGACTTGTAAACAGAATTGTCAAGCAAGGTGATTCCGAGGTTCTTTTCCGGTAAATTTTGTTTCGTGAACTTTCAGAAAGCTTCTAGGTCACACGTCAGATTGCTCTCAACAGATTCGCAATAAAACAGTTCGTCACACTCCTACTGCTTCTTAACCAAGTCAGATATATAGCGAATATTTCATAAACATATAGATCTGAATTTATATACTGCCTATAAAATCTCTGTTGTTTTACGTAAAGAGAACTCCAAATCAGAAGAAAACCAAGAAGAATATTTTGATGATCCAATTACTTTTTTTCAGAATATATCGTTCTAGCGCTCGACGAATAACAGAATCAAGTTTTCAACGGCTGACTGCACGCAAGATTGGCACAACACATTTGTCCAGTCATAACTTTCAACGTACCTGTACAAAGTTAAAAAGTCACCTTTTTTGAAATTAAAGATGAAGGCGACTATTTTGTAGTATTATCTGCAGGCAATCGACAAGATATTGTAAACGGCGGGTGAAACTCGTCATTGCTCACCAAGGGCTGAGACGCCGGTGTGACACAGGACGCAGATGAGCAAGACAAAACAAACAAACAAAAAAGATCTAGTACGTTCCTTTCTCTATTTTTAAAAATATTTCAGGGATGTAGGTCGTTGAAGTTTACGAAGTCAAGTAAAAACGATGCCTTCCTTGTCGTTTATGAATTAACGCCGGTGCTAAACCAGAAGCCCAGTCTATACCCGGAATATTAAAATCACCCCATATCTACACCCTATACTTAGTAAAGTGAATTTTCTCTTGTATCATATTTAAATGGTTTACGAAATGCACATGATTGTACAGAAGAGGGAAGTAAGGAAGTAATAATTTTCAATAAGAAAATTAAAATCATTTTTTGTCTGCAGCTCTACAACATCGGCCCTAATTACGTTCTTGCATGGATCCAATCTTTTCTGACTAACCGTTCTCAATTTGTCACGGTCAATAATAGCATGTCTCCCCATGTGTCCGTTACATCTGGCGTTCATCAGGGGTCAGTTTTAGGCCCCTCCCTGTTTTTAATTTATATTAACGTTTTGCCTATTATTGTGTCTTCGTCTATTTATGTCTTCGCCGATGACTGCTTAATTTGCTGTGATCTTCAAGATATTTCTGATTCGTTGGCACTTCAATCCGACATGAACTCTGTCTCTCGTTGATGTCAGTCGTGGCTAATGAAGCTTAACAATAATAACTGTAAACACAGGGAGTTTCCCGTAAGCCTAACGGCAGCTAGTCCTTGTTATTACCTTGATGGCAACTCTTTGGAACAAGTATCGTCTTACAGATATCTTGGTGTTCACTTAACTTTTCACCTTTCATGTAAACCCCACTTTCAGCATATCACTTGTCGTGCTAACTGCATATTGGTTTGCATAATACGTAACTTCTTATTAGCACCTGTTTCATTTTAATTGGTTTTATATCAAACATTTATCAGACCAAACCTGGAACGTGCAGCCTCTATCTGGGGACCCAGGTCAGTACACTCTCGTCATGGCAGTAACGTCTATCCTAAACATACTTGTACAAGTTACTGAAAAAAGTAACCGATTACAATTAAAATTACTTCACTGTAAAAAGTAACTGATTGCAATTACAATTAGAGCCTCAAAAAGCAGTAAAAAATTACTCTAAAGTAAACGATTAGTTCCCACGCTATTTTTCATGAAATGTTTTATTTTTTTTATTACGGTAGCATAATCCTAGGAGTCTCGCGCTCAGTTGTTCCGAAAAACAAAAAAAAAAAAAAAAAAATTGACCGTTTTTGTTTAAAGTTGAGTGAGTGACGCCAACCCACCCAATCCCTCTCGTAAAATATAAATAAATAAATAAATAAAAAGAGTGCTGGTTAAATACGTTGCTCACAAGAGGCTGGATAAGGTCATACCTGGACGTAGCCTCCGGTGTAGCTCCCCCGAAAATATACCCAGGAAACGAAGCATAGTGAAGTGGCCTACCAATCCTCGAAATCCCGTGCTTAGCGCTTTCGAAAAAAAAAAAATAATAATTGAACGTTGCCGAGAGCTGAGTGACTCCAGCACGTCCAACCCCCCTCCCCCCCCCCCCCCCTTTCCAGAAAAAATAAATTTAGAATCGTTTCAAGGGGTAATTTTGTAATGTATTCCTACAAAAAGTAATTCAATTACAAGGATCGTTACTCCTTAAAGGAAGTAATTGAAGCGTTACAAAATAACAGTAATATGTAATCGATTACAAGTAATCCATTACTTGTAAAGCGTTACGTACAAGTCTGATGTCCTTATGGACAACAGAGGGGGTATTCAGTTGTTCTTTCTCCAAGACGTGCTTTCCATCTCCGATAACACTTGACGACTTGTCATTTTCGAGCGTGCACACGCGGCCAAAGCACAGAAAAAAGAAGGAGCACGCGCTCGAGGCTGGTCATCCAAAAGAGGAGCACTGGATTTCTTGTATTTTAGAGCGCAGCTCTTAGGCGCCCCTTTCCGGCTTGAGCGGCGTCAGCGTCGCCGTCGCCGTCGCCGTCGGCGTAACCGTAAGGCGTCGGCGTAACGTGTCGCCATGACGCGTCGGCGTCGCCGTCGGCGCAACCGTAACGCGTCGGCGTCGCTGTCGCCGTCGGCGTAAACCGTAACGCGTCGGCGTAGTTGTGCGGTGCATTATGGGAAACATCCCATAGTGTACCGCGGTGACGCGCGCGTTACATTATGGGACGTTTTCCATAATGCACCGCGTGGGAGGGAGGAGGGGAAGGGGTAGGGGGAGGAGGAGGGGGAAGGGAGGAGGAGGGTAGGAGGAGGAGGGAGGAGGAGGAGCACGGCAGGAGTCGATACGGAGGAAGGAGGAGAGGGTAGGGACGAGGAGCAGGGGCATACCATTCCCTCCGTACCCTCCGCTCTTCCTCCTCAAGAACTGCGCTTTAGTTCGGCATTAGAGAGAGTCGTAAGCGTCTTTCATTTTTCCTTTTAATGGCACTACATTGCCGTGCACTTTTCGCGTTCTGCAAATTTACCATGCAAGGAAAGATATCCAAGCTAATGGAAGTGCATTGCTGTAATCCCGTTCCCCAAAAAGGGTCGCCCTGTTGAACGACAACAGCACTTATCCTGTGTACAAATCACGTGACACCGAACGCTCGGAAACTTCAATGGGTATCCACATTTGAGCTTGAAATTAACTCGCGCAATTTTTAAAACGTGCATTCATTTACCTCTTACGTTCGTCCCCATGAAAGCAGTTACTGCATTGACTGCAGTTACTTGGAGCCATGCACCGGAAAACTGAGGAAGAGGAAGATATGAGGG